TTTATAAAATATTATATTAAAAAAAATACCATAAAAAGGAAACCCAAACGCAACCTAGGCCAGCTTAAAAGAAATGTGGGCTTCCTGAATGTTGCCTCTGGATACAAGTAACTAAAGAGGCGCATAGGGTGAATAATTGACCAAAGGAAACGGTCCCTCTTCAACTGCTCCTGCTACGTCACAGCCGGCGAAACCTTACCGTCAGATTTTCTTCGGCCGTTGAAGAATTAGAATCAGATTTTCCCCAACTCGCAGACGCTAAATATCAGAGGTGCTGCAGGTACATTCCAAATTTGATCTTAGTTATTTTTTGAAGGCTTGGAGTGCACAGATGGTGTTCGATGAAATGCTCATTAGAAGTTTTCATGGAATCCGGCGTTGTTCTGGTGACTTTTGATCGAATTACTACCCGGACCTCTAATGTCGTTGGCAGAACAGAGTGAAGCCCAGGACAGCTGCGTCAAGGTTGCTCCAACGCCACTTGAACCCCATTGTTTTCATCTTGCCGAATCATCATTCTCCAGTTAAGGTTTTTCTAGCTATTCGCACATCTAAGTAGGTATCATCATGCCCTTCCTCTTAGCACGATTGATTTCCTTTACAAAGCTCCTCTATATTGTACATATATTTATATTATATAAGATGTTAATTTTGCTGTTCCCATTATTGAAATGCTGGAGATTCCTTTACCCTTGTATGTTTTTCATTATATAAAAAATGGATATGCATATTGAGACATATGGTTTTCGATTTATTAAAGTAACCTTCATCGCTTGAGTTACATTGCTATATGGACAGGAGGGTGCTTCACTTGCTAAATGTCTAAAAATTCTGGTATGAATAGCTCGTGATCTTTTTGAAGTATGCGGAGCAGAAAAGATGATTCCTTTTAAAAGCTTAATGGACTCGAAAATCTCGTTCGGCCCATTCAACGTATTTTCCCAAAGGAGATTGAAAAAACCTGTTGTTTCAGCTCAGGTTTGCTTAGAAACAAGAACAAGAGACCTCAAACTTGGCAAGCTTGTGACCCACCTTAACAAACTCAAAACCATTCTCAAGATCCAGCAGCTCATTTCCATCGAAAACGAGGCCTCTTTGTCTCCATACAACTGATGTCCCGTTGGAGAAACATTATTGGACTTAAATGTGGGCATGGGTGTCCTTCTTCACAAGTATCCCTATGTTTTTGAAGTATTTAAGCACCCACACAGAAAGAATATTTGCTGCAGATTAACCACAAGATTTAGGGATTTGATTGATGAGGGAAAAAGGGCTATGAAAGAATATGAATCAGAATTAGTAAGGAGAATAAAGCATGTTGTTAAACTGCTGCAATTCCAAAAGTTGTGAGGTGTCTAGTTGATCACAAACAGTGAGAAGCAGGGTAGAAAATGCAAAACACCAGAATCTCAAACCTGAAATGGAATTAACTTTTATGCTTAAAATTTTGATATAATATTCAACATGATCAAAATTGTAAATCTATTAAGGGGACGTATGATTGCAAGGGAAGACAAACCCAGACAAACTTTCTGGTTTAGGCTTAGATAAGAAAAAGCCACTAAAGAAATAAGGGTTCAATTTGCACATCATACCAAACATTTGGCATGGAAGATATTTCAAGCACACATTAATTGAACCTGTGATATTACAGATATTTCAAGCACACATTAATCGCACATACATGTAATTGTTGGATTCATTGTCCATTCATGTAAATTCAAGGAATTGATGAATTTCTCTGCAATTGTCTGGAACAACTTCAGAACAAAATGATACTTTCCAATAGACAAGGCCTATAACAGAAGACACCAATTCATATTTAAATAATATTCTAATATGATGAAAACATACTTCCGAGTTGCTAGCTACAGCCTCAGTTACAGATTTCAAAATAGTAATCACATAAAAGATCCTATCAGAACTAACTCCATAAAGGTTGTGCAAGAATAAGAAAAGATGGATGTCTATACTGGTAAACTTGCACCTCAAATGCTGCCATCAGTTGAGGACTATATCACTGAAGAATTGCCAAATCTGTTCATGAGCATCAACAACTTAAAAAGAGGACCACTCGTCAGTTTGGATCTCCAATGAGAAAATTAGCCTCAGTTCTTCAAGATTTTGAATTCAAAGCAGGAGAAGTTCCTTGCCTACAATTTTTTTGAAGAAAATATATGAACAAATTAGAGCTGAACAAAAAATAATAGTAATAAAAGAAAAAATAAGTCATACTCAAAATCTAAATACGGATGATGGAGAGAACAAACCTTAAAAAAAAAAAAAGAAAAAAAAAGGGGCTTTTGGTTATCACTCTTGCTAGGCTTCACTCCATCAAGCTTTACACCCAGTGTGTCCAAGCAATACTCTGTTTCTTTTCCCTTATGCCTTGGTTGATTATTATGGTGACGGCTACTGGAAAGTGTTTTGATGCTGAAGAATCATGAAGATAACAAAGGACCTGGTTTTCAAATAAAAGATAAAAAGAGGTGTTAATAAAGTAATTAATACAAATAAATATAGCGCTATGCAATTGGAAAGAAAATAAAAATGAACAAGAAAATTTGTTGGAAAGAAAAACAAGGGAATGAATTCGAGGACTAATGTATTAATGAAAAGCATAAACACACAAAGTAAGAAGAGAGAGACCTAGACAAAGTTTTAGCTGTAAGAGTTTCAGGCATGGTGTGAAGTAGGGATTTAGTATTTACATACTCGCTTGGCTTGGAATCCTTAAGGCCTTTCAAGCACACATGACTCGAGCTTGTGTTAAATTCAAACATAAAAATCATTGGCTTAGAGATTCAAACATTTGTTAAAATTAAGTTCACTAAAAAGTATCCCTGGAGAGAGTACAAGAAGCAAAAAGAGATACTATCTCGTTACCTATGAAAGTCATGTCAGCTCTCTAACCTGAAAAATAATAGCTTCTATACTTAAAAAATTATTTAATCTAGAAATTGAAAATTAAAATTTTATTAAGAACACATGACTGCAATGTATAAAGACAACTTAGACAAAGTTCTGGCCTAGACCCAAACAGTGGAGACATTACTTGAGCCTCTTTCAGATCCTCCAAAGCTTTCCAACACAAGAGAGCCACTGGAGAATGAAGGATTCAGTTGCACATCGGCCGTTTTGTGTGAAATCTTTAAGGTGTTTCAAGTACACTGTACACTTGAATTGACCTTCATTACAATGAAATGCTTGCCCCCATCATCATCATCATCATCATCATTATTATTTTGTAAAAGAAATAAAATAGATGAACAAAGTTGAACAGAGAGGGATAAGAAAGAGATCAATTAATTAAAAAGAAAGTAAATCAAATATTTGAGATCGAAAAGCAGGATTTTGGGTAAAAAACTGACCTTAAAAATGAAGGAATGTGTGTTTGTGCAATTCCCTGTTTTTTCTCCTCATTGCCTCTTTATATGAGAAAACTTTCCAGAGAACATCCATTAGAGGATTATTTGGAGAAGGCTTGTTGATGTCTTCAACTACTCAACCTGATTATTCAATGAACAGATCTGATCAACAAGTGGAAGTTTGAAATTAAAAAAAAAAAAAAGAAAAAAGAAAAAAGGAGAGTTATTTTCTACAAATTTATTGGAACCCTAACTCTGTTTTCAGAGACAAAGAAAACAAGGAGTTTGCAGTTGTGGTATTAAATGGAGGGATTAAGGTATGACAAATTAAACATACCTACTCTTCCAAACCTCGTGCTCATCCCAATCGCCCAGGTATCATAATTCTGGGAATGTGAGAAATCTTGGACCATTCGGCTCCTCTATCTCTGGAGCATCTCTCCACTAATTTGGGACATTCACTTATAAAAAGAAATTGTAAATTGGAGAGGCGTTGCGTGGCTTCAACAGATGGCATACTCATCAAATTACGACAATTTCTAATCCACAGCTGTCGAAGAGAAGTGAGGTTTCCTAACCAGTTTGGTAAAACTTCCACTCCATTGAATCCTTCTAGAGCCAACGACATGAGGCCAGTGAGATGCTGAAGCTGATCTGGCAGAAACTTTACTTTTTCCCATCCTCCCAATCTTAAATGTTTCAAGGAAGCATGAAGGTGATGGATGCAATCAAGTCCTGGGAACTCCTCCAACTCCAAGCAAAAAGGATCCATATCTAACCAACTAAGAGATTTTAGGGCTTGAAGTGGAGACAGATGCTTTAGATTTCTGCAATAATAAACGGAAAGTCGTTGAAGAGAATTGAGGTTTCCCAACCCCTCTGGAAAAGCTTCCACTCCGTTGAATTCTTCAAGAGTCAATTTTCTCAGAGCAGTGAGATCTTGAAGTTGATATGGCAAAGACTTTAGTTTATCCCATCCTTTCAAAAATAAGTCTTCAAGGGAGGAGCTCAGCTGATGAATGTAACTAAGTCCTGGGAATTCCTCCAATTCCTTGTAGAAAGGACCCATCTCTAACTTCTTCAAGCTTGTGAGGTTGATAAGGCACTCCTCTGGAATACTCCTTATATTAATGCAGTTTGAAATGCACAAATACTGAAGAGAAATACAGGAGCCTAGCTCACTTGGTAGACATGTTAATGCACCACAAAACGATAGCTCTAAACTTGTAAGAGAAGATGCTATACTCTGAATGGAAGTCAAATCCTTGCAATAAAAAATTATCAAGTTTTGGAGAGAAATGCAGGATCTTAACCCATTCGGCAAACAAGTTAATACATGACAATTGTCAATCGCTAAAGTTTCAAGAGATGAGAGCTCATCCAAATTTGGGATAGCCATCAGATTCTCACAGTCGCAGATCTCCAAGGAAGACAACTTATGATGAGATGAAAACCCACCCATCAACCAAGTTTTCAACCTATGACAACCCATAATTTTCAAACTCTCAAGGGAAGGAAACACAATCTCAACTTTACCTCCTGCTGCAATATCATCATCATCGACTTCAACCCATTCCTCTAAGATTGCCATGTTTTTTAAGGTGAGTTGTCTCAAAGCTGGGAACAGTTTGATTGATTCTTCTCCTCCTGGACTATCAAACTTATGACCCATTCTTTTTACATTTTTAAAATTATGAATATAAAGAGACTTGAGACAAGGCAAAAGTCCCAGACTAGGAATGTGTTCACAATTGTGCCAGTCATGTAATTCCAACTCCACTAGGTTATCAGACAAAAATGTAGCACCACCACTCGTCATCCATGGCGGAAAGCTCTTTCCCATGTAATAATTAATGAATAAAATTTTCAAGTCTGAATGAGGCTTAAAACCTTCTAGAACCTCCTCATGGTCGCTGCAATTTCCTTCCAATTCATTCCATTGTAGTTTCAAACAGTGCAATCTTGTCTTTTCCCCTAGGTTTGCTTTGGTAGCTTCTGATTTTGATCCAACTTGTTCAAGGTTCTGAATATTCAATTCTCCTCTGAGTTGTGTTAACCCTCCCAATTCTTCAATGCCATTCCCCTTTTCTTTACCTACAAAAAATATAGGTAATGTTTGAAGAGAAGTTAGGTGCCCAAGCCCCCTTGGCACATGCTTTTTAATAGAAAAATATATGTGCCTCAAGCTCACTAGATTGCTCATATTATCAGGGATCCATGGAATAGAAAAGCACCATTTTAGTCTAAGAGTTTGCAAATGGTAGAGCTTGGAAAGGGATCCTGGTAGTGCTTTAAATTTGCCATTTGAGATGTCAAGGTATCTCAAATGCTTTAGTTCACCAAGAGCAGGACACAACTCTTCTGTCTCGGCTTGCATTAATTTTAAAGATCGCAAACTTTTGAGATCAGATGCCACGTTATTGAAAACATCAGCATCCTTTTCTATGAACAAAGAACGTAGCCTTTGACGAAGATCAGTTGGAATGTATGGAAGTCTACTCCCATCGTGCTTGACTCTCAAATGTAGAATAGTAGCATTTTTGTCAATCTTGCAACCAGACCTCAAGATTAAAGTTTCATCTTTTGAAACAGCCAACGCCAGATCATGCACTACATCATGCATCTTGCAAGCTATGACATCTCCATATTTATTCCTTTCCACATCTTGAAATAAGGAATTAGATACGAGATAGTTAAAGTAAGCATCACCAATTTCTTCCATTGTGCTGGAGCTTTCATTAGGTTGGTGAAGAAATCCCTGAGCCATCCAAAGTTGAACTAAATCATCCTTTTCAATGAGGAAATCCTTTGGAAATATTGAACAATAAGAGAAGCATTTTTTCAAAGGTGGAAACAAATGATCAAAACTGATTTCCAATATGGATAAAATCCATTTTCCATCTTCTGAATCCAAATTCCATGCATCATTATCTCTGATAACCTTCCACGCACTTTTTTGAATTTCAGAGCTCAATGTTCCTCCTATGACAGCTGCTATCAATGGCAAACCCCCACACTTTTTGGCAATACCCACCCCAATATCTTTCAAATTAGGAGAAATTGATTGTAGTCCCGATAGTTCGAGAACCCTCTTTTCAATTATTGACCAACACTCATCATCTGACAACTTCTGCATTTTATAAATTTGCATAGAATTTTGCATAAGATTCATTTTCCTCATCTCAAGTGCTACCTCTTCATCACGAGTTGTCACCATAATGGAATTCCTTCTTGTCCTCAAAATTCCGAAGAGACGATTGTTGAAAGCAATCCACTTGGATTTATCTTTGTTCCACACGTCATCAAGAATGAGAAGAAAAGTTTTCTTCTCTAATTTTTGTGCAAGATCTTCAACAAGTACATTGATGCTGCTTGGAACGACACCAACCTTTAAATGTTCATACATCTCTCTCACAATTGTTTGCTCATTAAAGTCTTCAGAGACACACACCCAGACTACTAGATCATAGTGTTCCTTCGCCATATTGTATATTGATCTTGCTACAGTTGTCTTTCCAAGGCCCCCCATGCCAACTATTCAAACACCAGAGATTGGATGTTTATTCCTCAAGTTATCCAACATGCTAACAATTTCTGAAATATCATCTCCCCTTCCAAAAACTTCTGAACAATCAAGAAGGGAGTCTGTCGGTGTAAATTGCCTAGCAGTTGGATGACATTGCTGGCATGCCTTTAGATTTAGTAGAGAAACGCGCTCTTTTAATCTATCAAAGCGCGCATTGATATCCTTTATTCTGTCACCTATATCAGAACCAAGGGTGAAGCTGGGGGTACTGCTTTTCTTTTTCTTATCGCCGTTCTTCTTCCCACCTCGAGGCTTAAGCTGGTACTGCAGATGCTCATAATCGCACTCATCAAGTACGTCCTCAGCATCATAAGCTACCTTTTGGAGATCTTGTAGCCAGAGCCTTATAGGGTCATCACTTTCTCTTCCTTGTTTTCCCTCTGCATCTTTAAGTACAGAGTGGATCATCTTGAGTGAATCTTCAAGTTTCGTCAGCTCCATTACGGGATCAAAACGTGAACTCGAACTCGAGGCTGTCCACCATCCATAGGCACGTGAAATCAATTTGGAAATCAACGTCTCTATAATAGGAGCCAGGATGAGGCTGGTGACAAACTCAGGTATCATGCTTGGACACAGAAAATGATCGTGCTGAGACAGAGGAAAAACAGAATAGTGTTGTGAGAGCCAAGATGAGGAAATGAATTGTAGATGAAGATCCTGTTGGGAAGAACAGGATGTCACCTAAGCACAGCGTAAACAAAAACAACACCAAAATCTTCTTAAATCTATTTGAAATTGCTAGGAGCAAGCTAAATTGGGTCCAAATAAATTATGGCAGCAGCTAAAAATATGCAAAACAGTAAAAATAACCTCTTCCAGTAAACAAAAATAGCTCCACTATAATAAAAGTGAGTACACAATAGCCTCTTTAAGAAGGGCACAAAAACATTACCAAATAAGAGAAACAATAGGCCACAAACCAGCGAAAGAAAAAGGTATCACAAGAAAACAGAGCACCAAAACATGAGTTACTGTTTAGAATACAAAAACTGAACCTACAGAGTTTCAAACGAAAAACTGACCATTCAAAATGTAGAGGAATGTCTTGTGAACTCTAGACAAAATTTCAGTCCAATCCAACGGTGAAATTTTACGGATCGGACAAAGTTGCAAAACTATACACTGTACTAAAATCTGCAGAATTTATCTCCTTCTTTCTTCCCTTTCTACCGGCTGGTCCACAACGTGCTCTCCACTTTCTGCTATCCAAATCAGACTCTTTCTTTGTCTTAAAAGGCTGCAAAATGTGGGTTCAGGTGTACCTAACAAGTGTGGGCTTAATTCAACAAATATTGACCATTTCTCCAACATAGGAGGAATATGGCTAACCCAACAGATCTACACAAATTTCATTTGAGAACTTGCAGAAAAACTTAGGTATCAAATTATACTCCTTTTTTTTTTGTGTGTGATGTTCTTCAAATAACACATGTTACTAATTTTTTATTTTTTTTAAACTGGTACAAATTTGATAAAGGGAGAACTTAAATTTAGTACCTAAAGGCTCGGATATATCTAGCATTTAAAATTGAGGTATATTTTTTTTAAGATTTACAGTTAATTCAATTGGCCTCTTATGTTAGTGAAATACATGTTACTAATTGATTGAATAGATAAAAAGAAAATCATATAGTTAAATAGACTAGTTTGGTTTGAGATAAAACAACAGAGAAGGTTGCCGGATCTTTGGAAGCATAAAGAAATCAGTGGAACTTGAAAAAAAAGCCAAGAAATGAGTCCTTACCAGATTTCAAATGCTTAGCCGCACGGAAAGATAGCAACCGCAAAGAGAACCGGGAATTTAGGAGAGAACATCGGGCAGAGTCAGCGGAGATGATAAGGAAGTTGTGGTGCAGTATTTTGGTCATGTACGCAAAATTTGCAATTGACTTTCCTTCCTTGAGCCACTATTTATTGAAAACTCAAAAATAATGCAGGCTTGG